GGTCCGAAGGAGTGATCGAACAGGCTCGCGAGGCGGCGGGGGGGGGTTGTGGTCGCTCGGGCGGGCGTTTTTCTGGTCGGTGCCATGGTGTGTTGGTTCGATGGTTTGCCATCACCGAACCGTCACTTAACACAAGGTCTAAGAAAGGTAAAACATAATAGTGATCATCTATTCGCCCTGCTAGCGCAATGGTAGCGCGTTGGACTTCTAATCCAAAGGTTGCCGGTTCGAGTCCGGCGTGGGGCTTCTTTTTATATAAATATTTTCCACGCAAGTAACATGTGACAATGCGAACGTAGGTCGAATTCCTGCATTGGTGCTTCCGATACAACGGAAATGCACTCCGCTACGGAATCGGGCGCTGATGTTCAAGTTCTTCAATTGAAGTAGAGTGGAGAGTCCTAGTTCCGTGCCATCTTTCCGCGCCAGTGTGAACTGAACTGCGATGATGGAAATAATGACGGGCACCTCAACGAACGCCCTCGGACTCCATCCTTCCGACGTCGCCTAACGCGCACACCTGCGGGTTGGGCCGTCCCTCTCCCGACGACGGTGGTCACCCCACCACCTCGACAACCTTATCCTCCCCGTCCTCCACCACCTCACTATCCTCCCTCCTACTTACCACCCACCACCACCATGACACGTATCCCCCACCCCCGACTCCTCTTCCGCTCCCCCCGCCCCGTCCCCCTCCCTTCCCCCCACTTTCGCACCCACCCCCTCCACCGCCGCCTCCTCACAACCCCGCCTCCCGCGCCCCCCCAGACCCTCGGAGCACGAATGAAAGCCCTCTCAAAAGAATACGGCTACGCCGCCCTCGGCGTCTACCTCGCTCTCTCCGCCCTCGACTTCCCCTTCTGCTTCCTCGGCGTGCGCTTGGTGGGGACCGAGAAAATCGGACACTACGAGGAGGCCATCGTCGGTGCGGTCAGGCCGTACTGGGTTGCGGTGAGGAAGAGGGTGGGGGTGCCGGTGGGCGTGGGGGAGACGGATGTGAGGGAGATCGTGGGGAGGGACGGAAGGGGGGCGAGTAAGTTGCTTGATTCCGATGGGGGGTGATGGGGGATAATGGATGGATGGTGTTGACAACGGGATAGGTGTTTGGACTGAGTTGGCGCTCGCGTATGCGATTCATAAGTCGTTGATATTTTTGAGGGTGCCGATGACGGCAGCGGTGACGCCGAAGGTGGTGAAGGTGTTGCGGAGATGGGGGTGGAAGGTTGGGGGGAAGGGGGGGTGAAGAGTGGTAGACGCCGGGGATATGGGCGGAAGTCGAGGGGTTGGGAGGGCGGGAGGGTACGCCCGAGTGCATTATATGTGTAGGATAGGTATGGCGCTGTACTTTACGTTGCTCGGTCTGAGGTTGTTACGATACCTTACTGGTTTTGCTCGATTTGAATACATGGATGTCTACCGCAGCTTCCGGGATCCTAACCTCGCGAGCGATCACGGACTCACCGACAGACAGCATCGTGTCATTAGTCGCACACTTTGCGGTCGTCGCAATGACAAGTAATTCAGAATAGCAGCTGTGGCCCTCCGTTCCGCAAAAATGGTGGAGAGTGCGTGCTTTTTTTGTGTCCGACCAGCTTTATGTCTTCCTACAGTTTCTCCTGTAGCTTTCTCCAGCTTCTGCATTCTCTAAAGAGGTGTCCCCGGTTCTCTGACGAGGGTCTCCGCACCACCAGCATTCGTCGCTCGTAACTCTCCCTATTCTTCTCATGTATACTGCAGTTAGACCCTTATCTGTGGCGAATCTGAAATATCTGCTCGCTAGGCTTTTGCCAGCCCTCATTGCTGCTTGGTCAGGCTTCCGGGCTCGGGGGAGTTTGAATAGTTGTGGATATTATTTCCCGCATGTTTTGGCTGTCCATTCTCTCTCTTCGTTCTCCGTTCTCTCGCTCAGTTTTGGGGCAATGTGGGTAATTGAGGTCACCCCTAAGCTCGTATACTTGTGTTGACTCTGTCTGGAGGCTTCTTTTGCGGCTTCGTCTGCAACCCCGTTTCCTTCAATACTCTGGTGCCCTGGGACCCAATGGAGGTGGATCTCTATATCCGCCTCTTTCAACTTTCGGTGGTGCTCTCTGATATCTTCCACGATGTTGGATCCTGGTCCTGGTTTCATTGATTGGATCCTTCCCAATGCGTTTTAAGAGTCCGTGAAAACTTTGAGCGCATGGACGTGAGCTTATTTTATTGATTGATTGATTGATTGTAATCATTTAGGTGCATGCTTCCCTTAGGGATATGGCGGGAGAAAACTACAATACTGTGACGATCTCGTCATCTCGACCTCACGATGACATAGGCCAAGTCCAGTATTTCTTATTTTATCACGTCCCATTGACACATGTCAGGGTTAGGGTTAGGGTTAGGGTTAGGGTTAGGGTTAGGGTTAGGGTTAGGGTTAGGGTTAGGGTTAGGGTTAGGGTTAGGGTTAGGGTTAGG